CAGGTGTGTCTGTTCTGCTGCTATTTGTGTAAAATTGGAAGTGGGGTAAAAGAGGATTTCTACATATTTGTTTGTGCAGGTATGAGATACCAGAGGGTGCCCCAGGAACTGGCAACACAAGCTACTTCCTGCGGGGGATGAAGTGCTAGAGATGAGGTGAAACAGACAGGCTTCTCTGCTGCCCTTGTGTACTTTTTAAATTATGTCATATATTATTATGTAATGTACTATGTATGTATAGATGATGTTTAAAACTGAACTGTGAACAACTAAAATAAATCCCCAGCACTCTGAAGCCTACCCTCACCCTGCCTTCTCACCAGACCTTCCTCTTTGCTAAGACCCAGTCCACTGTCGCCCACACTGGAGTGCAGTGGCTGCTCCCAGCTACTGCAGCCTCGACCTGCTGGGATCCAGCAATCCTTCTGCCTCTGCCTTCCAAGTAGCTGGAACTATAGGCGCGCGCTACCATGCCCGGCTAATTTTTTTTGTTTGTTTTATTGTAGAGATGAGGTCTCACTAAGTTGCCCAGGCAGGTCTCGAACCCGTGGGCTCAGGCAATCCATTCACCTCAGCCTCCCAAGGTGTGGGATTACAGGCTGAGCCACCAAGCCCAGGTTTTTTTTTTGTTTTGTTTTTTTAATCAACAGTTCCCAGACAGGAGGTAGAGACAGATACACTGAAATTGGTCAGCAACAGATACAGCAAAGTCTCATTTGTGCAAAACTCCTGAGAATTCATGCTTCCTGAGGATTTGCTGTGAGCCAGGCACTGTGCTGAGGGCTGGCCATTTAAATACTTCAATAACCCTAGGAAGTAGGTACTACTTGTATGCCCATTTCACAGATGAGAAAACAGAGACTCAGAAAGGTGAAGCCACTTGTCCAAGGAGACTCAATGCCCAATGGGGGCTCGAGAGTATTTCACATTGCCAGGACCCCTCCCCACGACCTCTCCCAGCTTCTTCAACTTCCTGTTTTCAGGATCTCCCAGGATCCTCTCTCCTCCGCTTCCCCCCTTCCCTGGGTGCCAATCAGGGCTTGGAGGGAAGGGCAGTGCAAAGTCCAGTCTTGTG